TGAGAGCTACAGTAGGAACTGATACTCACCTTCCCTTTGCTACCCTACTACTGTGTTTACCATGCAAGCAAAGGGACATACCAGTTGCTTCCAGGTATGGGAAAGCATTTAACTCAATCACAGGTACTTCCAGGTATGGGGAAGCATTTAACTCAATCACAGGTACTTCCAGGTATGGGGAAGCATTTAGCTCAATCACAGGTACTTCCAGGTATGGGAAAGCATTTAACTCAATCACATGTACTTCCATGTATGGGGGAGCATACAGTGATTGACCGTATAGGCATCCAGCACTAACACATGGGGAGAGAGTCCTGGAGCTTACACAGGGCTTTTTCTCATTGCAGGTGAATGGAGAAGTAGGGAAGGCAACTTTTACTAGCTACGGGGGCAACATTAACGTGAACCTGTTGCATAAAAATGCATGGACAAAGCACAGTTTATAGTTAATTTCCTGAAGGAAATTAATAATTGGTTAATTTCCTCATGTGCTTAAAGAGAACCTGCTACTTTGCATATTTAGGACAAGATACCAGGTTTTTTTTTTATAATTTACCTCCTTTACTACTGATTTTTCTTCATTGTATTTCCAGTACTCCCCTGCTGCGTCATTTGCATGCTGCAGTAGAAAGCACTGTGTATGCTCAGAGACATTTTTGTGGAGCTTACACAGGGCTAAGGATCTTCCACTCACTCCCACATGACAGTGCCCAGGGCTGGTGATTGGCCATATGCATGCTGAGCAGGGCATTATTGGAGGTGAAGGAGAGGTCCATATATTCACCCATACCTTGAAGTACTGGGTATTCCATGGGTATCTTGCCTGATTTACTGCAGCTTACACTGCAGGTGAATGGGGAAGCAGGAAATTAAAGGGAAGCAACTTTTACTATTGTGGAAGTTTCATTAAAGTGAAGGTGTTGTATGGCCATGTATGGACAAAGCAGTGTTTCATTTGAAGAGCTCATGCAGACACGTTTGGGGTGGTCCATTCAGCAGATTGAAAACTGTGGCACCAATGTACCCAGATGCTGTAGCCCACGCTCATTCCTGTGTAATCTAATAGTACAATCTTTTTCTGCCTTTTGAGTCATGGAACAGTCATGGGGGGCTGCAAACAAGTCTGAGCACCCCATTTTGACTGCTTTATGTTTAGAACCTTACATGAACAAGAGAGCCTTGTTTTATGCAGTCAGTTTTTCTTAGTTCAAACAAGTGAGCTGAAAGTAATAATTCATAACTCTTCACACCAAGAAAGCAATGTGCCTATTGATAGCACGGCTTCCCATCCTACTGCTCCATTATCTGAGCAGTCTGCGGCTCGCTCTTCCTCGCAGCATCAATAAAACTGCTTTTGTTACACAAGCAGCCTGTCTTGTTTATCACAAAATAAAACACAGCTTGGTCCCAACATTCATGCATGTTCGGCATAAGAATATGACACCACTGTCGTTGTCACCAAATCCCACCGTCTTTAGATATGTAAAGAGTCACTTCCATGCCACTTGTCAAACTCCGTGCCAAGTCATGGCAACTATTTGATTCTGCTAGGCTCTGCCTTGTGCATTGTCAGGTTTAGAAATTCATGAAAAACGACACTTCACCACTACAATAGGGCCTTTCTATGAAACCCACTGGTGAGGGCATACTAGCAAACATAAAGGGTTCTGTGGCATCTTATTGCGCTCAATAATGAGATAATGAGAAGACTGTTGGCATGTTGAATCCTTGCTAAAGCTTAAATTCTATTGTTGCCAAACAAACAAGCAATACGTTTTTTAGGAGCTGTGTTGCAACCACTGCAATTAAGACCATTATGAATTTGAAATTCTGCATTTTAGAATTATGGTTATTTTAGTGTCTTATATTTTTTAAGAATATTTTTACGTATGGATGTTGATTTTGCTTGATTTTGTAGTATTGCTACTTTTTTTTTTTTTCTTCTAAAGCTGCTTTCCACTGCATCGATCTGTTGGTTATGGACACTTGCTGGGTTTCTATTTTGTAATCTGGATATTCTCAAGTATATCACTCAATCTGTTAGATTGTGTGTTTGTAAATATATACAGTATTATGTGTGTGTGTGTGTATATATACGAAGGGCATTCAAGTCAAACCAGGACTTTTGAGTTTATATAATAAAAATTTCAAGGAGTGGAAACTGCATTTATTTTTTATATACTCCCCTAATATTATTATTATTATTACATCGAGTTTATATAGCGCCAAAGGATTTGCTCAGCGCTGTACAATAGAGGGGGGGGGACAATACATGAAACAGTACAGCAACTACAAACAGCACACGAGGGGTTAGAGGGCCCTACTCTTTCGAGCTTACAATCTAGAAGGGAGGGGGTAGTGGTACAGGAGGAAATGAATGTGGGGGATGGAGTGGTAGGAGGAATGAAGGAGAATGGCTGTTAGGTGAGGGTGGGGTAGGCTTCCCTAAAAAGGTGGGTTTTCAGGGAGCGCCTGAAGGTGAGGAGGGAAGGTGACAGTCTGATGGATTGGGGTAGTGGGTTCCAGAGGATGGGGGAGGACCTGGAGAAGTCTTGCAGTCGTGCGTGGGAGGAGAAGACCAGGGAGCAAGATAGAAGGAGGTTCTGTGAAGAGCGAAGGGTACGGGTAGGGTGGTACCTGGGAATCAGGTTGGTGAGGTAGTTAGGGGCAGTGTTGTGATTGGCTTTGTAGGTCAGAGTGAGTAGTTTGAATTTGATGCATTGGGCTAGGTAAGAGCATCAGGATAGGTAAGAAAGGTAGTTAGGGGCAGTGTTGTGAAAGGCTTTGTAGGTCAGAGTGAGTAGTTTTAATTTGATGCGTTGGGCAATAGGGAACCAGTGGAGGGATAGGCAGAGGGGGGGGTGGCAGAGGTGGAGCGGTTGGTGAGGTGGATGAGTCTAGCCGCTGAGTTCAGGATGGTCTGAAGCGGGGAGAGCCTGCACTGGGGTAGGCCGGTGAGGAGGTTGTTGCAGTAGTCGAGGCGTGAGATAATCAGGGAGTGTACTAGTAGTTTAGTGGTGTCTGGGGTAAGGAAGGAGCGTATCTTGGCGATGTTGCGAAGGTGGAACCTGCATGTGTTTGTAAGTGATTTGACAAGAGTCCAGAATGACGCCAAGGACATGGCTTGCGGGGCGGAATTGATGGTGGTGTTGTTGGTAGTGATGGATAGGATACACATATCCCAGCATTTATCTAATGCCTGGAAACACTCCTTCAACGCAGTACAGACTTCAACTCTTCTGTGTCGGTCAAAAGCAGAAAGCTGTCTTGGTACCTATTGACAGACAGACGGCTATCTTTGAAACGTTTACACCATTCAAGTGTCTGACTGAGGCTGAGCATCTCATCACTGTACTGTGCTTGAAGTCTTCTGTAGACATCTGTGGGTTTTATGCCTTCGATCACAAGAAACGTCATCACTACACCCTGTTCCATGCACGCACTAACACGGTTGTCTGCCATCTTGATTAATAGTCTCTGGATTGGCCCGTGACATGTGCGCCGCCTATCAGTAATAGGACAGACTTGCCGCCTACTACTGCATGTACCGCCACGCTAGCATCCCTTTTTATACCTGTGAAATCAAAAGTCCCAGTTTGACTTGAATGACCCTCGTGTGTATATACAGTGGATATAAAAAGTCTACACACCCCTGTTAAAATGTAAGGTTTCTGTGATATAAAAAAAAATTAGACAGATAAATCCTTTTTCCAACTCGGTGATTCTGTTTTTGAATTTTTTTATTTTTTCTGATATGTTGGTTTTATATCTTTCACATGGATGTTATAAGTTACACTGAGTAAATACAGCTGGATAAAACAAGAACTGTGTCTGTCTTCATTTCAGGCTGCAAAGAAAACAAAATGGGATTATTTTTAAGGAGGGGGGGGGTGATTCTCTTTTATACTCACTAGACATTCAAAATAATTGTATTATATGAATTAAAGTATCAGTCTATAACAGTGGTCTCTAAACTGCGAGGCATTATTCCTGCCCTCGACACCAACAATGGGGCACTATTCCTCCCAATGACACCAACTTTTTCTCTCCCTAATACCAAAGATGGGGCATTGTTTACATCCACTGGGCACAAAGTCTGGCACCCATAAAGTCTAAAGGACAGTAAACTGGCCCTTTTGCTTAGAAAGTTTGGAGACCCCTGGTCTATAAACTTTGTCAATGAGAGACAACACACTGACACCTAAAATGCTGTCTTGGGAAAGGTAAGACTACATTGTTCCTGGATCCTTGCTCTGATTTCCTAGAGCCATGAAGATTTGCAGGTTTTTACGTCCCTCAGGATGTTCCTAGTTTCCTTTTCTGAATGATCTGTATAATATTAAAATCCCTCGTTCCTGTTCTTTTCACCTAGGCATGTTGCCTGAGATTTTTAAACTAAAAAGTGAGTTTAGCTAGAATCAATAGTTGTTTTGTTTAATGTGAATGCCGTCATATTTATGTAAAGAAGAATTTCAGGCATGGTATATTTTAACAGCTTGGACCAATGTAACTATGTATATATCGTACCTGGCCGTTGCCCCTGGAAGATGGAAATCATTGAAGTAAAAAATGCTACTCCATTGATCTCCACTTGCTTCCGGGTCCTGTGCTAAGCGGCCGGCCTGATGCATTCAGCACGTGTGCCATTCAGAGAATGCTTTGCATTTTCTATTTCAGTAATTTTTATTGTTTTCCACAAAAGGAAAAAAATACAATAACAATAGTTTTTGGTATGCAGTGCACAAGCGTGCAAAAAACAAAAAACGTGTTTGACCGCTTCCCCTCCACCATATAGCAGAAGTACTGCTACAGGGCGGCAGGGCTGCGCAAAATCACATATATATACACGTGATTTTGCATTTCTGGGTAGGGGCATGCGCGAGCCGCCCTACCCACGCCGCCACTGGTGGCTACAGCTGTCGATCACCGGAGATTACTCGCCAGTCCCCAACGATCGTCGAGGAACACTGACAGGGGAAAGGTCTGTATGTAAACAATACAGATCTCTCCCGTCAGCACCAGCATGCTGCTTTGTATTGCTCTGCATAGCAGAGCAATACAAACCAGCTTGCTTTTCATAGTAAAGCACACATAGTAAAACACACACAGCACACAGTTAACCCTTTGATCATCCCAGATGTTAACTCTTTCCTGCCCAGTGCCATTAGTACAGTTTCAGTGCTTTTATTAGCACTGATCACTGTATTAGTGTCACTGGGGATGTCAGTGACATTTAGTCAGTTCCCCCCAGTGTCAGAATGCCTGCCGCAGTCCCGCTATAAGTCGCTGATCGCCGCCATTACTAGTATTAGAAAGAAAAAAATAAAATTCCAGTATATATACCGATATATATATATTTATATATATATATATATATATATATATATATCACATTTTAAGCGCTATAACTTTCACGTAAACCAACTAATCTACATGTTCTTGGATTTTTTTTAGCAAAGACATATAGCAGAATACATTTTGGCCTAAATGTACAAAGAAATAGATTTTTAAAAAAAATTTTTTACTGCATATGTTTTATAGCAAAAAGTCAAAAATGTTTTTTTTTTTTTTCAAAATTGTCAATCTTTTTTTGTTTATAGGGCAAACACTTAAAAACGCAGAGGCAATCAAATACCACCAAAAGAAAGCTCCATTTGTGGGAAAAAAAGTACTTATTTGGGTACAGTGTTGCATGACTACACAATTGTCAGTTAAAGTAACGCAGCGCCCTACACAAAATGGCATGGTCAAGAAGGGGGCTATATCCTCTGGAGGGCAAGTGGTTAAACCATGCAGAAAAGGGCTTAGAAATATAGCGATTGACAATATAAAGCTAAATCAGACAAAAGCGACCTGAAAAAGAAGACCCAAACAATAAAAGTTGGCTCAACAGAGACATTTCTGGGTATGTAGCCCGTCTGATATCAATATACAGATATAAGAATGTTAACACGCCACACAGATCAAATAAGGCAATGAAGTATTCATCTAAGTGCAAAGCCGCAAATATGGAGGTAAAAGAAGGACAGAAAAAGGGAGAGTGAAGTGAAAGGGGGCAAGAGGGAGATACCCACCTGGGGGCCCAGTCCACCACTATTCAGCTGGTAATTGTAGATAAGAGAGCCAAGGATTCCAGACTTTATCAAACTATGATTGCCTATCTCGGAGCGTACTATTTTTTTCATTAAGCATTATCCAAGTCAGTTGCCGTTTCAGCAAGGAAAGATCCAGGGCTCTTCCATGCAGTGCCAATAGCTATCTTGGCCACCAGGAATATAAAGTGAATTAATATTTGAGTGTGCTTGGGGATATCTTCAGCTGGCTCATTAAGAAGAGCTGTCCTGGCAGTCTATGTGATATTTACCATGGTTACTGAATAGATCAGGAAATGTCCAGAATTGTCTAACTTTGGGGCATGTCCACCACACATGCAGGACTGTTCCCAATTTGCATTTTCTTAAGGAATGCAAAGCTCTTTCTGATTGAACAAGGTGGAGAAGAAGGGTGGTGATGTCATGCTCTCTACATCACCCAGTCAGCAATGCTTTGCAAAGAATTCTGTAAATGGCGCATGTACTGAGTGTCCAACCTTTTGAGTTCACAGTGCATCAGGCCAACTGCTCAGAACGGAAGTCGGAAGCAAGTGGAGATCACTAGAGTAGTGTTTTCTATTTCACTGAATTCTAGCTTCCAGGGGCATCAACCAGGTATGGTATATACATACTGTAGATACATTGGCCCATACTATGTAAAAATATGCCATGTCTGGAATTCTTCTTTAATCGCTGATCAGCTGGTTTACATCTTGGGAACCCCTCTATCCTACCAATCCTTATGTAAAGGGGAGTCCCTTTTAGACAGTTGTCCCCAATAGATTGTTTTAACTGGTAATTTCTGTATTCCTCATTACTTTCTGTACTGGTTACTATTGTCACTGGAACAGAAATTGGTAGGAAATACAAAAATAAAAAGGGCATATATCCTTAGTCGGGACATAGACAGCAAAGGTAACCTCACAAGGGCTCTATTCCTTCCCTGATTTATTCAAAAGAAAATGAAAATTTTCCTTGGAATTCATAAAGAGTATCATAGCAACCATTGGGGCCTCACAGGAAGAGCAGACAGGGCTGGAGGTTCCCGGAGGAGAGCACTGGCACGTGACTGGAGAAGAGGAGGTAAGAGAGCAGGTAAGTATAACATATTTTTATTAAAAAAAAAGTTTAAGTACCACTTTAAATTTGACCTTTAATCCAACAAACATCTTGCAATAACTGATAGTTTTTTAATTCCAATCATTGCTTCATATAAATAGTGTGTAACTATTAGTAAAATAGTTTTTTTCTATTTACAGCTGCATCAGCAAAAGGAAGAAATGGAAAATGTTCTGAAATCAAACTGAAAGAAAAAGAAAAAGAGGTACATTCTAAAACTCTATATATTTAAAGTAACTGCAAAATGGAACTATATTTCTAGAATTGGTCAGTGTTTCCTGAGAGGTTGAGAAATCAGCAGGATGCAGATGACCAAATAGGACATCAGAGCCATGGGGCTTACTTATTAAGGCATGGCGTAACCTACAGTGCCAACACAATATGTCTTTCATTGGTCTGACCATAGTAAATGGAAATCAGATTAGTTACTTATGAGCTCTGCAGTTTGTATATCATCATTAGTGCCTTACTTTAAAAGCCTGGCTTCCTCAGTGTTGTATGCTCAAAGATTAAAGATATTGCAGTTTGTTTTCAATGAACATTGTAAATCAAATACACAAATTAAAACACGCTTTATATAAATGGTAAAAAAATCAAATACTCAAACTGTGCATATACAGTAAAACAATAAAATAGTCTCTTACATAATATATCAACACAGCATAAACTCAAACTGCTCAACATCATATTTCTATAAGGAGAAATGATCCATTACGTACTGTATAAGTACAAAGTATAAATTATAAGTATTTTGGAGACATAAATAACTATGAAATATTTAAAAGAAATCTTGCCCCTGTATAAAGCTTTAGTAAGACCTCATCTAGAATATGCAGTTCAGGTTTGGGCACCATTCACAAAAAGGATGTTAGGAAACCTGAGAGAATGCACAGAAGGGCAACCAACCTGATAAGAGGCGTGGGGGAGCTCAGCTATGAGGAAAGATTAGGTGAACTGAATGTATTCTCTCTTGAGAAGAGGTGTGTAAGGAGGGATATAATTACTGTGTAAAAATACATAAGTGGTCCAATATAGTAAACTTGCTGCAAAGTTATTCACTTTAAAGTCATTAGAAAGGAAAAGGGAGCACACTGTGTTCGTCACAGTAAGAGCTGTGAAAATGTGGAATAGACACCCTCAGGAACAAGATCTAACCAGCTCAGTTTATTGTTTGAAAAACTAGACTGATTCCTAAATGCGCAGGCTAATATCTAAATTATTAAATGGACAGGCTAATAACATTTATGAGTAATAACACCAGATACTGTTGATCTAGGGAATTATCAGATTATTTTAGGAGGAAATTTGCCTTCCTCTGGAGCCACTCTGGATAGAGGGTTTTGTATATGTGAGTTTTCAGTTTAGTTATTTAGGTACTTTTGTTTTCTTTTGGTTCAGTTTGATGAGCTTTTGTCTTTATTTAGCTTCAATTTCTATGTAACTATAAATTTGTTATTTGTTTATTATCATCAGTTCTTATAAATTGAATATTGTATTTCCATTTCTAGCCAACAGATGGAAATGTAGGCTTCATTTTAATTGTTTACCTACCTACTTTTAGCTACTCTGTTGGGCAAAAAAGCCTGTTGCTCACAGAGTTCAGTACCTCAAACTAAACATGTACACAGAACTGAGTGAGTCAAAGAATTGACCTATTACCCTACCTTGCCTTGCTTTTCAGATGGGAGTTATTGGCTTTCAATCAGGTGCAAAGAGCCTAAATGTAAATAGCTCATGCTGTACACTTACAATGAATCCTGAGTCATTGGTGTACCAAACTATGATTTTACATATATAGTAAAAAGCAGACATAAAACATCCATTTAAAAACATATCCTCTTTAAAAACATTCAAAACTAACCTAAAATCAGTATAGTTTCTGCTTAAAGTGTTCTTTCATGCTTGCATCCAAACACCTACTGTACTTTATATTTGTAACATGTTCTCATTCACATACCATTTATAAAAAAATAAATATAAATTGCTGCTTACATTTTACTTGCTCTTTTCTGAAAACTCCACAGCTGAAGTGTTCAGGCTTTTGAGTTAATGTTAACCATAATTAACCCTGTATACATTGTGCTGGCAGATCCCATTATCAGTTGTAAACTAGATTTGAACACTGTCTATCCTAACAAATGGTTAAAGCATAGTCAAAATAAAAGCACAATAATCAGTACATGACTTACTATCAATGTGCTGTGTACCTTGTTCTGCTGGCTCCTTGTTTCTTTGAAATTGTCCTCCATTGATTCCCACCTAACCCTGTCGCTATAATCATCCAATGTAGTAGGTGTTAGTGTAATTGATGGAGCTGTCACTTGCACTCATCAAGAGTGCCAAACTATGCCTGCCCTTTCCAACCCTCTCTTCTATTCATAAAAATCAGTACTACAGCCTCTATGGATGAAACACGGTGTATGAATGGAGGGGCAGAGCTAACAATCATCCAACTGTCCTTTATTTATAGATTGCTTATCATTCATAGACGTTTTAGTACTGGCCTTTGAGAGGATTTTTGTATATATGCACACTATATAGCCATAGGAATGAGGACACCCCTGCAAATTATTGAGTTCAGGTGCACAAAGCCAGCTCCAAAAAAGGTATATTTGATGACTTTGGAGTGGAGGAACTCAAGTGGCCTGCATAGAGCCCTTAACTGAATAATACTGAAAACCTTTGGAATGAATTGGAATGCCAATGTTGAGCACAGTCTTCTTGTGCAACATCCGTGTCTGACCTCACTAATGCTCTTTTGACCAAATTATTATTATTATTATTATACAGGATTTATATATTGCCAACATTTTGTGCAGCAAACACACTCCAGATCTTCTGGAAAGCCTCCATAAAGAGTTGAGACTTTTAAAGGGGGAGCCAATTTCTCATGGTTTTGGAATTGTATGTCCAACAAACTCATATAGGTGTGATGGTCAAGTGTCCACACACTTTTGACTGTAAGTATGCACATATAGCATATATAGGAATTATTTCCCTAGTTTGTTAGAACTTGTACTTAATGCAGAGCTGTTTACTCTTTGTATCAATCACACTTATTTCCAGAAATCATGACACTTGGTGGGAACCAGACACATGGTGTGATAAGACAAACGTGTTACTGTTTCCCTAACAAATAATAGACTTATAACCGGGTAAATATGTTACTAGTGGATTGATATTTCTGAATAACACTTCATGCTCATTATGATAATGTGT